AAGAGAGGGAAGGGGGAGGAGAGATGGACAGAGAGGAAAGAGAAGAGAGGGAAGGGGGAGGAGAGATGGAAAGAGAAAGGAGAAATGGGAGGAGCAGTAGGTGGGAGGGAAGAGGAAGAAAGGGTTGCAAGGAAGGAGAGAGAAGGATGAGAGGGAGGATGAATGGAAGCAAGGATGGAGGCCAAGGAATTAGAGAAGTCCTGGATGGGAAGTCAGAGGCCCTGAGTTTCAATCTTCCCCTTGGCCATTGGGTAACCAAGTGGCCTTGGGCAAGTCCCTTACCTTCCATGAGCATGTTTTCTCCTCTGTAAAATGAGGGGGTTGACCTCTGTGGCCTCTGACCTCCCCCAGGCTCTAGGTCGAGGTTCCTATGACCCCAGAGGGCTTCTCAGGTGACTCTTGGCTCCCTCTTTAATGCTGTGGCCTTGCAGTTTCTCAAGGCCTCAGGCCTCTCTCAACTTAACATCCCTGTGGTTTTCATCCCCATTTCATAGGTGGGGAAACTAAGTCTAGACATAGGCTGTGAATTCCACCTACTTTTCTGACTGGAATCCTGTATATTTTGAGTTAGGAAGATTCCCTCTTCTCACTCCCCACTCTCCCCTCCCATGGATCTCTCTTCCTCTTCTCTCCTTCCTCCCATCCCATTGCCCTCTCCTTTCTCCTCCCTCTTCCCCTCTCTTCCATACCCCTTTTCTCCCCTCCCTACTAAATTTCCCATATTTCAAATGAACAAATAGGCATGTGTAGCTACAGCTCAGGGTGTTGGTGGGTCAGGGCAGAGGCCTCTCTGCCACACTTGCGACCCTGGCTGGACAAGTCATGCCCCTTCTTAAACCAAAGTTTTCTCCTCTATGGAATGGCATTTAATAATCCTTGTACTGCCTCCATCAGAGGAAAAAGGAAAGTAGGGGACGTGCCATGGTGTGATATTGCTACCATTTCCAAGAAATCCAAGGGGATTCAGAACCATGGCCAGCATCCAGTGTGTGTCAGAATGGGAGAGGCTGCTCAGGAGGACTAGAGGAGCCCAGCCCCCCCTCTGTCCTCCATCCCTCATTCTTCATCCCGGGCCTGACATCACTGGGTGACGTCTGACCTTTTGTGTGAATTGGATTTAAGTGAGACAGTTGCATCGAGTCAGCCTCTCTCTCTCTCCCAGAGTCAGCAAAGTCCGGTGGCGATTCAAAAGCTGAGACGATGACCATGGCCTGGGATACAGTGGATGACCTTGTTCCCCCTTTCAGCCGGGGGAAGTCTTTGTGTGTTTGCGATAGATACCCCCAACTCACTGACGTCTGGTGAAGCCTGTGGATGACCATTTCTCTGAATAACATTTTTAAATGAGTAAAATAAAATACATAGATTTACAAAGGAAACCAAAGATTACAGAAAATAAAGGTGTATTTTTTCCATCCAATTTTATGGGTTTCCTAAAATCTATCTGTGAAGCCCAGGTTAAGAACCCCTTCCCTAGAGGAAGGCATCTGCAACCCTGGGCAAGCCTTCCACGTAGGGCTTATGGAAGGACATAGGAGGTGATAGAAAGAGCCCTGGATTTGGAGTCAGAGAGCCTGCTATCTTACAAGGCCTGTCTCTGGGCCTCAGTTTCCTCATCTGTAGAGTCAGGGTTTAGACCAGATGACTTCTGAGGTCCCCAGTGAGCCCCCTTCTGGGATCCTGAGGTCCTTTGAAATTAGGCCTAGAACATTCCGGACATCGGTCCCAGAGCTGAACTGGGAGCTTGGACCCCATCTATTTAGTGATAGTGGTAAAGGGAATCAGTTCCTAATGACGTTTCAGTGGTTGCTGTAAGAAGTTCCTCAGTGGCCTCCTCTCTCTCCCTCCCGTTCTTCATGTCATTCCCTGTATGAACCTCCTTTTCCTCCTCCTAGCGCCTCCTGCCATCCTGTGGCCTCCTGATCTCGTGCTCTTGATGTTTGTAAAACACCTTCTAGATTTCGTCTCATTCAAGCTTCACAAACACCCTCATGAACTGGGGGTTTCTTTTATCACCGTTTGACAGGTGAGGAAAATAGTGCTGAAGCGGCCTGCTTTTTGGTTATGTAACTCAATGTCTGACCTGGGTTCTACACGAAATCTTTCTTGACCACCCCCCTACCCCCAATTGCTAGTAGCTTCTCCCCGCAAATGACCTTTTATTTATTTCATTCTGTATCTTCCTGTGTGGCAGGTGTTAGCTGGCCTCACCGTCCCAGAGCCACGCCTGCTCCACCATCCTTCAGGGTTCTAGGGTAACCTGTATGTCTTCTCTAATGCCATTGTCCCAGCCTGCACTCCATAGGTTCTTCCACTGTTAGGTGCCAGTGACCCGATTCCATTTATCCTCAACATCAATTAGCTTTTCAGAAGGGATATTTACTTCAAAGATACAGCAATAACAAAAATATTCCCAACACCTCGGTGACACACTTTTCCCTAGGCCATCTCAGTCTTTAGGGAAAGTGTGCTCAAACTTACCTCGGCTCCTATCTGACCTTAGTGCCACCAAGTTCACGTCACTGGCAGGTGAGTCCTCCTTCTGGGTGTTAAAAAGTCCCTCCCTGTTCATAGTCTGAGCTGGCTATGAAGTCCAGGTTTACACGTGGTTTAGTGGCCCTTGCTTCTATTTAAATTTGACACCATTGGATTAGATGATCTCTGCGGCCCCTTTGAAATCAAATATCCTATTATTCCTGTAATATGAAAAAATCTAAAATCAACTCTGTGTTCTATTGGTTTGCTCTTCAGAAACTGATGGAACGAACTCAAATGAGTCTGAGCCCATAGCAGAGACTTTGCAAAATGGTGGAAAGCTCAGGGCCTCGATCTCCTGTTCCTTTTGAATGTACAAGGTCAGAGGCTCCAACCCCTTTGCCTAAAATGGAGAAGAACCAATGGACCAAGGATTAGGACTTGTTTCTCAAGGGCACCCGGCCTTGCTGGAGAGAAGGCCCCAAGGCCTCCTCCCTTACACTCTTGTCTCTCCAGATAATGGTCCACAAAGGAGTCGAACCAAGAGAATATAGCTAAAGAGATAGGATGAGATGAGGCGAGATGAGACAGGACCAAGGCTAACGTGAGCCTTTTTAAAAATGGCGCTCATGCCAGCTACCTCGCCAGTTGAAAAAGGTTTCTCCTTACCCAGTAGTTTGCAGACTGGAACCCATTCCAGAATGTCTACACATGCTCAAGTCTCTCTTTATTAAATGTCATCACAATTCTCCATGTGGGGAATCTGCCTCAGCCAATCATGCTGATGACACATGCTGCACACGAATCAATCCCCCTCCAATCTCCTTCCTACTGCCCCTGAATATACACGGGTTGTTCTCCTAGACCGCCACAGTATCAGTCTCTCCATGTCGATGCCGAGGCTGGTGAGTTACACTCCCTGCTCCTAGGCTCCCCGGTTCTCAACTGCCCCTTTCCCCTTTACTCTCTCATTCGACTGAAATGGCTGTCTTCAAAGTCGTCAATATCTCTTAATTGTCAGATCCGATAATCTTCTCTCAGTGTTCCTCCTTAACCTTCCTGCAGCACCTGACC